CGCTCCGACTGACTTTAGTTCAGACGAGGTGAAAGATAAGTTTTATGGAAACCTCTCTAAACGTCCTCAAAAATTGAAGCGCTCTGATATATATAAACAACCTACGCAATGATCGCGAACAATGGTGGGTATCAAAAACAAGAGCGATGGAAAAGGGAGTAACAGTATTTCTCGACCTTGAAGCGTCTTTCGACTCTGTTGACCGTGAGCATCTTTGGCAGTGTCTGTCATTGAAAGGTGTACCAAAGAAGTACATTAACCTTACACAAGCTCTCTACTCGAACACCACTGGTCGAGTGAGAGCTTATGGCGAACTGTCATCTGAATTCTCTACTTCAAGTGGTGTCCGTCAGGGATGTCCACTCTCTCCATTCTTGTTTAACTTTGTCGTAGACAACCCTTTCAAGTTCACATTATCATCGTCTGAATTTTCAGGAGTAGACCATCTACCAGGATACATACTTGCTGACTTAGAATATGTTGATGACATAGTCCTATTCGATTAAGACGCTGACAGTATGTCAAGTCTTCTGAATACCCTAACAATACAGGCATGGTCGCGATGCGGTTCTCATCCTCGAAATGTAAAGTGCTGCTTGAAGATTTGCTTGCATCGGTACCTGAACTAGTGATAGGGAGTGAAGTAGTCGAGCGTGTAGACCGCTTCACTTATCTGGGGAGTTTCATCAGTGCTGATGGCTTAGTGACTGACGAAATCTCAGCACGAATACAGAAAGCTCGATTGGCTTTTGCCAACTTGCGTCACTTATGAACTAGGCGAGATATTTGTCTGCCATTCGAAGCACGAGTTTACTGCACAGCAGTTCGCTCTGTTCTATTTTATGGCTGTGAAACATGGCCAGTCAGAGTAGAGGATATTCATAGGTCATCAATACTCGATCATAGATGTCTTCGAAGCATTGCTCGTGTATCCTGGGACAACTGAGTAAGCAATGCTGTCGTTAGGAAACGAGTACTAGGTAAGGATGGCAGATCAATAGACGAAGTATTGAAACTTCATCAGTTGAGGTGGTTGGGATATGCTTTACAAATGCCCAACAACCGACTGCCTCGACAAGCAAGGTTTTGTGGTGTAGAAGCAGGATGGAAGAAAGCTAGGACAAGCCAGACTGAAACAAGGCACAGACAATTGCACTCAGTCATGTTGGGAGATGTCGGCTACCTGGTTGAAGTCCACGAGACGAGAGCGAGTCATCGATGGTTAAACAACTTGAACGACATGGCTCAAAATCATTTGCAACAGCGCAGGTGTATCAACCCTTTGTGTTCTCTCAAAACCTAATTCTCTGGATTCGTCAGCACCTCTACCTTTGTCTTTATAAACTTATCTCACTGAATTATACTTCTTGAATATTATCTTCAAATCCTAATCTTCTCCTTTACCAGTATTACTTCTACTATCTCTACCACTATGAGATTTGAACTGACAGTTGCGTCTCAGTGCTAATACAGTATGAAAACCTGAACTGATGTGTGCACGTACGAAGTTCTTACGTTGCAACTGACTGACTGACACTCCCTTTTTTCTTGGCTCACTTTAATCTGATAACTGACTTTTACTAACACGAATCATTTTAAAATGATGTAATTTTTTGGCACTCTGTAAAAAGGGCTCACACTAACAAGGATGAATCCAGAAAAGTGTGATTGAGGGCTCACATTAATACGAGTGACCATCACATGTTGGTAAAAGTTTGAAAGAGGGAATAAAACTTTTTATGTGCTGTGGAACCTGTTCAGCTGACCCTCTGTCTCTTTGCCTCTACTACCAGTCAGAAACAGATTTTCAAACGTCTGATATTGAGTTTGCTTTCAACAAAAGGTAATTTCTCAAGTTTGATAACAATTTGTCATTCTCATTACCCCAGTTATGTGATTCCATACGCCTGTTTCATATAGCTAGTGGATAGTCTTTTTAGTAATGCTTCTGTTTTGGATTGTTAACAGTTTTTTAAGAATTTTCGGTAGCCAAAATTGTACAGAAAATGGACTGAGTGATTATTAGGTTATCATTGTGAAAATTTGAGAATATATGAAAAGCCTTTATTAATGTGAACTGCGCCCTTAAGAACGGATACCAGAAATGAGATGGATGTTGTTGAATATACTTTATTGAGTTAAGAGAAAGATCTCTCAGTCATCCATGTACAACAAATCATAGGGTAGCACTTTAAACAAATAGTCCGAGCTTCCTTATCCCAATATCTTTAATAGTTTGTCATTGTAAAAGCATAATAGATAAAAAGATAGGACATTAGTGTCTTATATTTGCAGGGATCGATTTTGAGGATAAGTTCGGGTATCAATTATTTTAGTAAAAGGTCAAATTGAAACAAACCTACCTACTTTCATAACTGATCTTCACATATTACAACAAAATAATTTAGGCGTCTCACACAAAATTGCTTTAAATCTATCACTTCATGTAAAAATGGTGAAATCAGTAAAAAAAAACCGTGAAAAACAAAATGTACGATATCATACATATAACTAAGAAGGTAATTGTGTTTATCAGAATGCATGTACCATAACTTGACTAAGTATTCAACTAGAGGAATAATGAACTGAGGGATTTTTTTTCAAGCGAAACTCTAATTAGTTTTAATGATGAGTCACTCTTAATCTCAGACTTTGAATTTTCAAAGTTTCTAACAGTATTTATTGATAAATAGCCCATCATTTGTCAAAAATAAACCAGTCTTAGAACAGAAGCTATCTTAGACCGTTTTGGCAGAAAGATGTTATTTTTATAAACTATAAATGAAGATTAGTTTCCCATTTACTTAGATGGGAGAAATATTACAGAAAATAATGTACATGCGCATTTGGACGGCTTAGGAACAACTGAATGTGGAATCTGGAGATAGAAAATTTGCAATAGGATCTTCGTTGATAAATATTTACATTTAAGATAAGAGATTTCGTATAAACTATGTAAAAGTTCAAAGATGCTATCACATAGCTAAAGTATTTATTTCTGATTAGACTTCGTTGTCCATGTCATATGGCAACTGAGAACAAATCGAAGAGGAAATCCTTCTAAACATCAAATAGGTACACTCGTATCAGTCTTTTCGGAAAAGATGAATTTGGCCTAAAACCGAGTTTTTTTTTTCAAAACTGTGTGATGCTTAAATCCATAGATCTCAGAAAGAATCTTTAAAAAACCGGCAGTTGTAAGTTACAACACTGGTCCCTATAAAGAACTTTGAAAACAAACAGTTAAGAAGACTTGAAGGAGACGCTCAATCTGAACATTGAGGTGAAAAACGACATTCTTTTGAATAATATCTTATAAGATTATGCAGATCATCAGAATCGTTCCCATATATGCTAAGTTTATATATAAGTCAATAGACGAGGAGAGGTTCAGTTCTTCGAATTACTTGATTGTGACTACAAACTAAATAGTTGGATGGATGTAAATCATGTGTTCATAATTTCCGTCCATTTGTTAGTTTGATAGTTTCGACAGATCTTCACCTTTATTATTAAGAACTTTATATTAAAAAAATGTGCATCTTGGAGTTACATACAGATTTCTTTAACAAAATTCGACTATATTCTTGAAATGAGATTATCGTAAGGGAAGCATGTATTTGGGGAGTGATGGAAATTTACAGCGTTTTCAAAAAATGTGATTTTACGTTGGCACTAACGCGAAATTTCTCATTTCTTTCGCTTTCACTGTACCTATCGATAGAAAACCCAAAATGTAATGTGACAATAAGCAACTTTACACCGTTCATCTATGGTGATTTTATTACAAACCCCTTTCTGCATTGTAAAGCATGTACGATCCAAACACGTTCACATTAACACAAATCTAATTTTTAATAATAACGAAAAACTTAATCACTGTCCCAATAAATTCTTCTTTACACTAATAATAGATTGGTCAATTAGCTGGCGCAAGACTAAAAAGTAATTTAATTTTCGGAATGATAAAAGTATGTAACGGACGTATAAAATAGTTTTTATGTATTTAATACACTTTCCCCATCGCTAATCTAGTGAAAACGGTATATTTAAATGCATTATCTTCAACGTTTACAACTTTTATTAAAATATTATTTACACAAGGCGATAACAGTACTTTTAGAATTTATTGTACTTCAGGGCTTCTCATCAGGTGCAAACGGCTTAAATTAACATGATCGGCCCTGAATTCATCTTATTTTGCAAATATTATTCTCGCTCTATTTGGATTTATTGAAGGATTGGGTTGATTGATTTATTATTGATTTAGATAATATTAAAGAGTAAAAGTAATTTTTAAAAATGCTTGTTCGAAATTACAGTAGTTATTGGTGTTTATATCATGTTAATTGAGAACTGAATAGGTGGAACTTGCGAGGAGGTCGGTTGAACTATAGTAATTTTATACTAATAAATTATTGCTTAACGACGAAATCGAGCAGTAAACTACGGATTCCTTCATTGTTCAAACTAAAGGTAAAGATGAACAGATTCAGTCAACGATTTCAATTTGTATTGATAATAAATGGAATTGTGCTGCATTAATTACCACTACCTGTAGTCTGTTTGGATATGTTGTAACAACGATGGTAACAGGATCGGAACCATACTAAACACGAGCAGATAGTATTTTATTTTGTTATAATTGATGAATAACATGCAGATATGCCTTGCTGATGAGTGCAAACTAGCAAGAAATTTACGGTTTAGGGCTCTGAATTACTGGATCATCATATAAAAATGATCAGGATTGGTTAGGGAATAATTAACACAATTATTATTCATTATTTGTTTTCTACGGCCTCTATTCTTTTTGATCTAATCAATAAATATGACCGACAGTTATTGTAGGCTGGTGTTCGGAATATGTACCTTTATTCTTCGTAAATGTCTGTGGCATTAATTTACGCATCAACAGGATCATTAAGTTTAGTTTAAAAGCAATACTATTTTGGAATTCGAAAAGACTGGAAATTCGATTTTAAAAAATTAAGAATTACGTTCACATCACAACATATTCTTTCTTGCCTTATATTATTGAAAAACAATTGCTGACAAAATTGTAGTTGTCGAGATCGACAGAAATGGTAGTAAAAATTCTACAACTTACACATGATTGACTTTCTTGTATGTAGTCAGTGTTGATGATGATTTCATCTAAGCTGACTATAGGATATCCATTATTAAATATAATTACATAAAAAAGGATGTAAAATACTGCATTGCTCAACCTGAACCGTTGATTTGATACACGGTATAAAATCTTACATAACAACAGTAGGATACAAACAGACTTTGACAAGAAGTGAGAACAATTTTAGTTAAATGAAAAACCATAATAGCGAAAGGACCATTTTTTAATGATATGTTAAATTAAGAGTCAGTAGATTTGCTTTAATTTGACAAACAGTAAGTCTATTGAACAAAGAGTACAACAAACAATTTCTCGTATTCTAACTGCATAAGGAGAATGATATTTTGATGGATTAGTAAATGGCGATTAGACCAATAAAAAGATGCTTTTCGTGATGATCTGACATTATTTAAGGAACAAATGAAAAGCAAGAGCACTGAATAAACCAAACAATCATTCGTGAACCCACATATACACCCAACTAAAATAAATGGAACGGTTTCTTTTTAGAAGAACATGCAAACATTTTATTTCATAATTTAAATGAACATGAATCGAATTCTTTTCTAAGTTAAAGTTCAAATCAAAGAAATTAAAAAAAATTTTCAACAACGATATGATGTTTGAAAAAAACTAATCACTTTTTCATTGCATAAACATGATTCCAGCTGGCCGACCTGGTTGACTAATGAATATCAAATCGTTATCACTGTTACCACCAATCACATTATAGAATTCTTTGCGCACTTTTTCAATGAATTGCTGTGCATTCGATTTTCTTACCAATGACACGTTGCAACCACCCCAACCTGCACCAGTTAGCCGACTACCAAACGCACCAGCTGATCTGTAACATATATTGTTAGAAACAAACAAATAAATAGATTATGAAAAATAAATGAATACCCATTTCAACATTATAGTTACTTCTGGAAAAATCTACTTAGATACATACTGTGCAAACCTTATTGCACAGATAAGGTCACGAAAACTGATTGACCTGTAGCTTACACTTCAACTCTGAGATTTTTTGAAAATACTCACATAAAGATTAATTATCAATTACTATATAACAATATAGTGAAAGTGTCAACTACTCTAGAATTTGAAAATTTTCTAAAACCGAAATCAAATTTATTAGGTAGATATACTTTCGAGGAACTTTTATGGACTGTAACTTTCGTGAAAATCCACAAACAATACTATCCAACTTCTAAGGCTGGTATACAAATGAAGTGAGTTTGATCTTGTATGTTTCTGAGCTAGTTGAACTAGACTCAAATTTCAAATAAATTGACAGTGAATAGAAATGAAATTCTATTGTTTTATGCAACTAACCAACCAGGTCAACTAATTTACTTCGAATTTACAAGCAGAATGAATTGAATGATCAATATACACTAAAATAAGATGAATAAATATTAAATGCTCAGTATGTTAAAAATAATAATACACTCGTGAAACAAGATGCATAGAAAGTGGATTGTCGAATAAGTTGAAGGAAAATTTTTATCAAAAATACCCAAATAATCAAACGCGTAAATAAATGAAATCTCAACCATATATTTTGGCCAAAAAGAAAACTAGCAAAATTCATTGTGAAAGGATAGAACAGAAAACATCCAACCAAACAACAATGGCTTTCAATCTGAGACATTTACGAATTCAAAATACATAGATGTACAAGAACATACTAGACATCAATCTATCGTGATAGGTCAGTCAAGAAGCATATGAGTAACGATAACAGTGATAATAATGATAATATGATAGACAATTTGTATTGATGAAAGCAATGGAAATACGTCACGTCATAAGCCACAAGAAAAACCGGATATATTCAAATTAAATGAAAATATACATAAATGGTAGTTATACAAAGGAAACAAGCAAGTAAGATCGCGAATGCAAAAGTGAGGTTGATAAAACAAAAGAATAAATGGTATTGGGGTAAGAAAAACGACAGTTTGGAAACATTAACTGAACATCGCTGAAATGTTGGAATAAATCGCAAGTTTGATTTTTTACAATATAGACATATCCTCAGTGAAGTCACGATTACAGATACTTCAGTGGATGTGAGTACCGAAAAGACTACAATCAAAAATGAGCGAACAGTGGTGGGTGGCGAAAGCAGAAGCGATGGAAAAGGCAGCGGCGATAGGCAACACTAGACAACTTTTCCGACTTATCAAAGAAACCGGTATTAGGAACCCGAATGTGAGTGAGACTATCTCGGAAAAGGATGGTCTTATTATCCATTCTCAAAACAGGAGACTGGATCGATGGGCAGAACACTTTATGGACCAGTTCAACCGGTCTTCAGCCACACTTCGGTTACCCACGATACCCAGTCATCCTGAATGGCAAATCGATTTAAGTCCTCCCAGTCTACATGAAGTTGAGAAAGCTATAGGAAATCTAAAGGGAAGTAGAGCAGCAGGTCCTGATAGGCTTACCCCTGAGATATTTAAGGATTGTGGTCCAGTTTTAACAGGTAGGTTGACCGAGATCTTTGGTAGAATATAGGAACTAGACGTAATCCCATCTGACTGGTCTCAGGCGCTAATTCTCCCAATCTACAAGAAAGGACAAAAAGTCCTCTTGTGATAATCATAGGGGAATAACTCTAACTAATATAGTTTCTAAATTGTTAGCCTCGATTATACTTACACGTCTAACTGGAGCTCGTGAAGAGTAGACTCGAGAATAGCAGTCTGATTTTCGACCTGGACGTGGTTTTATAGACCACACCTTCCCACTACGACAGGTCCTCTAAAACAGACACACATTTAGCCGTCCAACAATAGTTGTGCTCCTCGACCTCAAGGCGGCATTTGACTCTGTCGATCGTGAGGTCCTATGGCAGTGTCTGTCATTGAAAGGTGTACCAAAGAAGTACATTAACCTTATACAAGCTCTCTACTCAAACACCACGGGTCGGGTCAGAGCATATGGCGAACTGTGATCGGAATTCTCTACATCAAGTGGTGTCCGCCAGGGATGTCCACTCTCTCCATTCTTGTTTAACTTTGTTGTTGATATGCTTTTAGAGTTAACATTAAGCTCGTCAGCTTTTTCAGGGGTTGACCTTCTACCAGGAAAAGAGCTTACTGATCTAGAGCATGCCAATGACATAGTTCTATTCGGTGAAGACGCTCACAAAATGCAGAGTCTTCTGACTACCATAAGCAACAATGCGAACATGTTTGGGATGCGTTTTTCCCCCTCGAAATGCAAAATGTTCCTTCAAGACTGGGTTGCATCGGCACCTGAACTAGTGATAGGGAGTGAAGTAGTTGAGCATGTTGACCGCTTCACTTATATGGGGAGTCTCAGCGCTGATAGCCTGGTGACTGACGAAATCTCAACTCGGATACAGAAGGCTCGATTGGCTTTTGCCAACCTGCGTTACTTATGGCGTAGGCGTGATATCCGTTCGCTAACCAAAGGACGGGTGTACTGCGCAGCAGTTCGCTCCGTTCTCCTATATGGTTGTGAAACATGGCCGTTAAGAGTAGATGTTAGTAGGTTACTAGTATTCGATCATAGATGTTTAAGAAGCATTGCTCGTATATCGTGGGACAACTGAGTAAGCAATGCTGTCGTTAGGAAACGGGTACTAGGTAAGGATGGCAGACCAATTGATGAAGTGGTGGAACTTCATCAGTTGAGTTGGTTGGGACAAGTGTTGCGTATGCCCAACCACCGACTGCCTCGAAGAGCTATGTTTTGTAGTGTAGGAGTAGGTTGGAAGAAAGTTAGGGGCGGCCAAAACAAAACATGGCAGAAATCCATGAAGTCATTGACAAGTGGACTGAGTCATGTTGGTAGATGTAGGCTACCTGGTTGGGGTCCGCGAGACGATAGACAGCAATGGTTAGAGACGCTGAACGACATGGCTCAAAATCGTTTGCAATGGCGCAAGTGCATCCATTCTTTGAGCTCTCTCAAATCCTAATCTTCTGGATTCGTCAGCACCTCTGCCTTTGTCTTTCTAACCTTATCTCACTGAATTATACTTCTTGAATAATATCATTAAACTCTAGTCTGCTTCATTACCATTAATACCTCTGCTATCTCTATCACTCAGGGATTTGATTTGACATTTGCGTCTCTGTGCTCCTGTGGTACGGCAACATGAACTTATGTACATACGTACGAAGTTCTTACGTTGCAACTGACTGACTGACTGACAATCAAACATGAAGTTCACCGTCAAATACATGAACATTAATGAAGTGAATTGTCTGGAGCACATAATAAACTATATAATCAAACACTGCATACAAAGAAAAATGTTGACAACTTAAAATTAATTAGTAAATCACCGTTACATTTTGTCGTGTATTGAATTAAAAGTCAATTTTTATCAAACTACTAACCTGCATACACTTATTAATTTATCCAATTTATCACAAGAACATTGATAAAGATTAGCACAAGATAATTGACTTTGATTCATTAAATCTCCTAGCAATTGCATATAATCGATAGAGTTAGTCTGTGTATCATTAGTCCTTAATATCTTTTTGCATATGTCATAAAATTTGAAAACGCGTTCAGCTTCAGAGTATACATGTTCTGCACGATCTCTTAAATTGAAGTGGTTCACTAAAGTTATAAGGAAATAAAAGTGACGGTTGATATGTTTTTAAAAAACAAATTGTTTATTTTTGAACCTCTTTTATTTAGCATCAATAAAAAATACACTAAGATATCGTGATACAACTGCAGAGAATTTACTAACTAAGTACTGGTTTAGATACTTGTGTTAAAGTAACATCTAGTTTGCTACACTGTAGAATGAGTAAGGCTGGTAAACGCTACTCAGTGGCGAAAATTTTGGTGCTTTGATTACAAAGCCATTATGTTTTTTAGCTGATGACCAATCTATCTAGTTCATCAAAAGAGGCTTGCAAGCGATTCGATTGGTTACTTAAAAAAGAATGACTGTTTTGATAAATAGATATGAGCTGGGTGCGACATAGAATAGACATAGAATGGAGATAAGGTTTTTACGATGAGCGAAAACGTATCCAAATTATCTATAAATAGCTCTTAACTATTTGAAACTCAGTGTTGTGGATTTCAACGCTAAATTACATAAGCCTAGTAGTCAAACTGTATATGAAATGCAACCAAATAAACATAAGTACCTGGTTTCACACATCGAATTAGGAGTTTTTTATGATGATGGAAAATGCTAAAGAAAAAATTCATCAATAAATAACTTAAGCTGGACGGGAGGAGAAAAAACTTATTCGTTTTAAATTGAGAACTCTAGACAGTGTAAACCAACGACTACACACAAGATCGAACCCAAAACATACATATTTCGAAGAGGGCAATGTGACACTGGTTGCAAAACTTTGTATTCGAAACCAGATATTTCCAACCATAATTTCTGAAAAGGCTAGATTTTTACTTAATCGTCATCGTCACATGTTATGCTGACAACTAATCAATAGCGTTTGTTCATATTTTACAATGAGTCACTTGTCTATTCCTTTTATTCTCGTTTGTTTATTCCTTTATTTCCTAACTAATACAGAAGCTCGACTATAGTAGGAATCGTGTTTTATTTAGACCATCTCAAGTTACCGACTGGTTGAAAGTTGAATGCTACAACCGATACTAATTCTTAAACAGCCTTTTTAAAACCACGCGTGCCATTCAAACTAGCCTAATTCAACGTCTGCACCTAGTACAGATCGCAAGACAGATAACGTTCGCTATAATTTTGAAAGTCTGAGCGTCGAAGTCCATAGACTATCTGAAGCCAATAATCAAGACTCTATTAAAATACTGCAAACTCGCTCTCCGTTAGTTGCTTCTAAGGGCTTGTTTCGCTGGCGGTTATCTGGGGATCTTACAGCATCTCCGTCAGTTTATGCTGGCACTGATTTCACACAAAGCGCTAAAGCTGAGACAGTGCTAGTTAACAGGATCCCCATTAAATCAATGGTGCTGTTAAATTAGAAAGCTGCATCAAAGCGAAAACATATCAGTGGGAGAAACGACGCCTCTTCGTTACCTCCGTGCTAGTCTTATCCTAGGTGTCCGTGGTCAACAAATTCATCGTCCTGAATGGGTTGATCTTAGTATATTGTTTGGAGATTTTAGTGCAACCAAATATTAAAACGAGCCAGGTTAAGGCTAGTTATAGACCCACTGAAAAGTATCATTGACCACTGGTCGCCAGGAAACTGGCGGGCATAGTTACATAAAGCTTGGCGAAACGTCCAGCTCATAGGTACAGGCTGTTTACAATTCTTCGAAGCACCCTGGTCTATTCTGGGTAACCACGAGTTTGACGATAAATGAAGATTACTAAGTATTGAAGTGGTGTAAAGGTTGAGTAAGAACCGTAAAACCGATAGTCAAAACGTTCTAACGAGTTGGAAGCAGCAGCTGCAACTTGCAACTACCGGAGTCTCTTTCAACTTATCAACACTAGCAGCAAGAAGTCTGACGTGAGTGAAAAAAATCTGTAAAGTAGATGGGATGACGGTTATCGACGTTTGGAAAAAAGGGCGATTTCTCGAGGTTAACTATTGCGATGACACAGATCGAACTTTGTTATTCTTCGCGGTCAGTGGCGACTGACCCACCTAACGAGGCAGATGTTCGCAAGGAGATCGAACCCTTGGAGCTCCAGGCCAAGATGGTTTGCCCACAGCCTTTCGTAAAGATGGTGGAAACCTGTTCATGAGACTGACTAAGTTGTTTACGTCCTTTGGAAAGAAGACAGAGTCCCAACATCGTGGAATAAGTTGATATTTGCCCCTATCTTTAAAGAAGAATCACATTATCTACGTAACAACTATCGGGGGATAACTCTACTACCGATTAAATCCAAGTTATTGGCTTCCGTCATACTTCGTAGATTGTTCAAAACCTGAGGTAGATTGACTTGCAAGAAGTAAGCTGGTTTCGGTATGGTCGATGATGCACTGATCATATATCCGCCGTCTGTCAAATGTTAGAACACTAACACACTTATCGCAGACCAATAATCGTCGTATATCTTGACTTCAGGGCTGCCTTCGATTCGTTGGACAGGACTGTTCTCTTGGATTGTCTGCTGAAGAGGGATAGATCTGACAGGTTTATTAACATCTTAAAGGCCCTATATACAAATACCTTAAGCAAAATGAGGGCATACAACCATCTTTCCCAATTTTTTTCATTTCAGCAATGGAGTTAGGCAGGGTCGTTCACTCTCCTCTTCAATTTTGCCATCAATAACGTTCTGGGAATAGCTCTAATGGCCGTGTGTGATGGTAGTGTGGGTCTTTTAGTATGAGAAAAACTCTTCGACCTTGAGTATGCAGATGATACTATCTTACTGAGCGATGATACACAACCGTATAATCAGTACTTAATCAGTTGGCGATCAGCGTTTATCGTTATGGTATGTGCTTTGCACGTTCTAAGTGCACGGTACTTTTATAAGACTAGTAAGACCCTGAATCTGGACTTTCTTCATTTACGTGAGGCACTTCTTTAACTGGGAGAATTCTTTTGGGTCGTCTCTCCCAGTATTATTACCACTACTTCGTCACTCTCATATACTAATTTCTGTCTATTTTTGTTTCTTTTATTATACTCAAATTTCTTTCCCTATCTCTTCACATTCTTATTTTGTGTTCTTTTGTATCAATCACTCAATATAACCAGTAAGTAACGTAACTCAGTTACAACCTGTTTAACTCCACAAGCCACAATCTCGTAGTAAAAGGACCAATACTTGATATTATTAAATCAGGTGAACGTGTGAAATGTGATGGATTTGATCGTGTATGCAATAATTTTTCTCCATAGTTGACAAAAATTACACTAGAATGAAAGGGATGTTTAGTGTCCCTTTGTTTTCAATAGTTTTCCAGCTGACATTAGTTTGTGATAATAATCAACCCAAATACATACAAAAATCTTCATAAAACTATCAAACTAAATCATTATATTTTTGGAGTTTTATAGCTTTCGCTTTATAAATCACAGACAAAATAATCACAAGTTTTATTACTGTACCATAAGGTTTGAACTAACAGCAGAAACGTCAAACTGTATACCCACTACTGATTATCTGATACTAAAAAGATAGACAATTAAAATACATTTTAATTTATCTAAAGGAATAAACTATATACCATTTAAGGATTCATAACTCATTGTACAAAAACATACTTGTTTTGGTATTGTCTGTCAGGCATCCTTCAATAACTGAACTAGTTAATCCAAAATTGTAGAGATTTTCTCGATTAATAATACCACTTGGTAAATATCTAGTTACAATAGATAATCCATCCTCTTGGATGCGTATCATTTCATCCGGTGAAACCGCTTCCCATAATTTTTGTGTATCACTAAGACATAACGGTGTGGTGGGTGAATAATTAGAGGATTCAGTTGCATGTGGGCAATTCTGAGCTAATATCTAAAAAACAGAATTTGTTTTATAAATCTGAGGATAATAAGGACAGCTGTTTTTAATGCTTATGACATAGTAAGGGTAATTTTAAAAAATTAGCTTAAAATATTTCGTTATTTACCCTTAAGTAACGATTTGCTAAGATTCATATAACTTGGTGTTAAAATGAACAAGAGTAAAGACGTTCATATGAAAAAATATATAAAGATGATAACTTATTCCCCTGTTTTAGAAAGAAATATTTTCATATTTTCTGATCGAGTATCAATTTATAAACCAGCCAGAAATATCATGGACAAATATAGGATCGTAAATCAAATTAAAGGGAGATACAATCAAAAGTGAAGAGAAATAACGGACAGGTCAAAAGTCAATACCAACCAATGGCGATTGTAAATTTTAGGTTGCTTTAAAAGAAGCATGGCAGAAACAATTACCAGAAATCTTTCTTGTCTTTACTTAGGTTTTGTTCTTTACGTAAAAACCATCAAGGTAGTTTAAATTATATTAAATACGCAGTATAATTTCTGTCTTGTTTTTACAATTTCAGACTATGTAAATCAAGAGACGGTGCCATTTATTGCTTTTTCGGTCTCTTATAAGAAAAGTAAAGAAGAGGACACATGTGTACTAATTATCCTATGTAGTAGATATAGTTACTTTAAATTGTATCACAGCAACAGCAACTACTATTACTGGTACCACACAACTGAAATGACCAGATGTATGTCCTTAAAATCAGATCAGAGAATATCTATCGTTAAATGCACATAAACTATAGTAAAGGTATATTTATATATATATGGTAATCGTGTACAAAGTTGATTATAAATTTATTGCTTCTGACGAATGATAAAGATAAATTATGTTACAAACACATGGTATCCAAATCAAAATACAATTCTTTTGCATTCATATAATTTTTTTTGTACATTTTAAAAGATATAGAAGTAGAGTATTATCGGTATACCACCCAACCGCATACTTGTCTGAAGTAGAGATTTCATTATATAGGATGGATAAAAAGAATCGATCTCTTACATATTGATAACATTTTTCAATTAGAGTTATGGAGATCTTTGTTTTCACACATAGAAATTATGAATCAGTCAATCACTGTTGGAACACCATTAGAAACCTGAAAGCACTCGACGAGTTTCGTCCTGGTATGGGACTCGCCAGCAGTGCGCATCCACAACTCCTGCAACTCTCAGGACCATCGATCTTGCGGGCAAACGCCTGACCTTAGGACCACTGGGCCGGCATCCCACAGCGTTAATGTCTAACTCTGATCAATCTAGGGATTTCGAGCAACCGCACCCACTTGTCGTCGGTAGGTAACTGCCTACATCCGACAGGGTTGAACTCCACTGGTCACGTCTCCTTACTAGAACTCGAGAATTTTTTAACGAAGCTAGTCACTAGTGAGCACATTGTACGATAATTCAATTAGAGTTACGTAGACCATTAGAATGGTGGTCCAAAAATGATTCATTCATTCATTCATTCATGATTACTACGTATAAAGCTAACAGTTTTACAGGTGTTTATTGCGATTTAAAATTGATTATTATGGTGGAGGTAAGTGAGAAACTTTATCGAAAACAAACGCACAGTTATCACCGCATTGTTACTGATATAATATTGCATTAATTTTAAATTTTGGGCATTCTTATTCATCAAGAGCAATTAGCTGAACATGCATGCCGTTAAATGAGATGATTCAAATAATATTGAAAATCTTCAACCCTAGTCAGTTAGTCAGTTGCAAGGTAGAACTTGGTACATTCGTACATCGGTTCAAGTTCAAACACCACATTGGCACAAAAAGATGGAAATGTCAGGCCAAATCCCAGAATAGTAGAGGTAGTAGTAGAATTTATGGTAATCCAAGACAAGATAAAATAACATAAACCTGTGAAACAAATGTTTTCAATAAAAAAGGTTGTGAGGGATTGTGACGCTTAGAATTTAAAGAAATGTAAAGAATGATCGTGTCTGTGTCAATCCAAACTGTTTTGAGCTGGATCATTCAAGGGATCATTCAAGATCTCAAAACACTAGTTACGACTATCACATGGACACCAACCATGTAATCTGTAGCAAGGCTTAGTTTCATTGACAATCACTTCACAGACCGGTAGACTCAGCCGCCTATAGCTTTTCACAGCCTACTTCTCAACCAGAAAGCATCACCGACCAAGACAGGTGGTGGTTAGGCAAACTAAACACACTTTCAAACTATCCAAGTTCATGAGGATAGTATCCAATCGCTAACCTAAGCATGGATTATTCGGTGGTCCAAAAATATACGAGCAATTCTTCGAAGACACCTATGATCGAATATCAGTAACCCCCGAATATCTCTTATTATTAATGGCCATGTTTCACAACCCTTGTGAAGAGCCAAGTGACATGCTCTGCAATGAACTCGTCCTCTGGCCAGTTCGTTGACAAAGGTTTCACCTACGCCACAAGTATTGCAAATTGCCAAGGATCGTTAGAGCCTTTTGTACCCGGGTCCAGATATAGTCAGACACCAGGACTTCAGGACTTGTGAGACTCCCGAGATAGGTGAGGCAGTCGTAACGCTCAACTACTTTACTTTCTACCACTAATACCGGAGCCGATACAAACCAACCTTGAAGCAACATTTTGCATATGGAAAGGGATAATCGCTTTTCATGAAAATGGAAAAAGCGAAAATACCTAGCGTACATCACTTGAAGTGATCAACTCAAAGAAAAGTTATCTATAAGCTGACCAATATGATGCGTGGTACCCAAATCTGAAGGCGACAAGTTATATCCCTTCACCAAAAAACTTGGCTGTTTGAGCGAGACGACAAAAAGCAGAAGGGAGGATCGATTCGACTACCGAATAATATGAACAATTACTTGTCTACATATATGTATTTACTTCCTTAGAAAAGAAAGGTGGGTAACAGGCATGAACGAAGCCTAGTTGAACTGTCCGCCAAAGTTTTGTCCATCAGTGGAGTTTCTTGGATTAAGAGTGAATAATAGTCCTATCATTTTCAGAGATTCTCACCAACAGCCGGATTTCTAATACCAATTTCTTTGAAAAATCTGAACAGTTGTCTGCAGGCACCTATCGCAGCTGCCTTTTTCACAACGGAGGCTTTTTGTCAGCTTGCGTTTAAGCTGTCTCCGCCTCTTATTATGTTCAGTCAGACGGGATGAGTTTTCGAGCACCTATCTGTTAAGCAGATGCCGCTGAAATCCACTGGATTTTTCTAACCTTTTAGTTCGACTTATTGGCAGATATCACTGCTGCCTCTACAGCTTGTCGAACATCATTCTAAGCTGCTTCGGGGTGGGCATCGCTCATTGTTTTCCTAGTTGCTCTTGAAATATACTTTAGACTTGTTTATCATTGAAAACTACAAGAGTTTCCTTGCTGTATCTTTCCTATGTACAACAAGCCGCAGACAAATACGTGCTCGTATTAGAGCGTGATTTGAGTCGAAATATGTAATCCAGAATGAACGTTATTTTATAACAAGTCTCTCCAGCCGTATCAAAAGATGTTTTGCCATATGTTTAAAGTTGGTGATTGCCATAAATAGGCGATTATCTGTGTATAACGGCAACAGAACTTGGTTATTGTCTGTTCAATGAGCCGCGACACTAAGATCCATTTCAGATGTCTTTCATTTTCGTTTACCCTACCTACTTGAGCATTAAAATCATCAACCACTATTACTACATCAAGGTGGCTGGCATTTTTAAAGAGGTTGGAAATCTGTCGTAAAGTTTATCTTTTACTTTGTTTGGGCTGCATTCAGTTGGGGCATGGGCAGAGACAATAGCAAGTGTCCCTATATTTTCGAGTTCATATTGTCCCGTTTAATCAGACAACGCACAAGCAAGCGGCTACCGGAATCCAGTCTAGGAGCCGGTCCTGCTTTTAAACTTAATGCCATACATAGACCAGTCAGGCTGTTAGATGTAGCAATAGGGACTACGGATATGCGAAGAGAGAACTGCGCCGGTTCTTTATATTAACAAGGCGAGGTTAGATGAATGACTGTACTTGGATCCTGTATGTGTTTCGGAGTCACAGCACAAATCAATGGTTCGAGATGCTAAAGTCCTAGCTGCTATATCAGGAAGTAGACTAGAGGACTAGTAACTTCCAGGACTAATTTATAGTATGTATAGTTATATTGTATAAATATTCAGTAACTAAATTATATGTATATATTTGGGTGTGACATTTTTTGGGTCGACCTTATCTAAGCTCTTCCTTTCGTTGCGAGAAGGAAGCATCCAGGCAGACGCTAGCTATCTTGGATAGACATCTTACAGCTGTCACACCCCTCTACATTCAATAGTACGACTTTGGCCTCGGACATTAAGTTGCTACTTTTAGTCTCACTTTTCTCACCCGATCTGGCCGGCACGGTAGGACTCAAAAGAACACATATTCCAGCCGATATAGCTCGGCTAAATCATCACGATAGACAAATCTAACCACCACGTCCAGGTAACGGCTACGATCGGTCCATGTACTTTTATTACTAAATGAGCAGCAATTATTCCTCCGAGTATGTAAGACGATGTTAATTCTTTTAGTAATTTCTTGAAATTAACAAAACTTTAGTCTACAATTAGACTATGTGACTTGAGATCTGTATGTAAAATGTCAGTTATCTAAAATTAACACATATCTTTGTACACACATCACTCTGAATTGCTCTGCAACATCAAAATGACATTAATTCAAGGAGTTTATATAATATTACTATCAATCAAGGAGAAAAAGACTAGACTTTGAAGAATAGAGTCCAAATAGAAAGGATGAACTAATATGATAAAAAAAACTAGATAATACTTAAGCGGATGTAAAGAGCGAACAAATCTGCACTCTGTAATCCAGTGTGGACTCAAACCAAGTAGTAGGCATCTACTAAAATACAACAATTCAACATTTGATGGCATCATGAACTGATGCCATAATATATAAAACATGTTGAACTCAACTAACACAGTACGATTCAATAACGAAGTACAGAGTTTTGCATGTCTTCGAGCTATACGCTTTAAGTGCAGGCTATTAAAACCACTCAGTCATAAGATCAAACCTTTCTCGGGGTTCTGGCAGCAAACAAACCGTTAGAATCCAAGTGCATTAATTATTAAACCATAATAAGAATCATACTTAATGTTCACCGTAGAGTTTGTCTGGAGTAAATTTAGAAAGTACATAACCGAAAAAATGTTTAAAGATTCATATACATAAGATTCGGGAAGACTTTTTCAAGTACCAGATTAATGAACATCACAACTGTGAGCTTACTTTAGCAGCTAATCGACATTCTGTCACACGTTCATTATAATGTGATGTAGCAGCTTTACGAGCGTGTACGCCTGAATGAGCTATCACAAAAACTATATCAGATGGTAATTGTATAGGACTGACTGTGACGAATGGTTTGGTAAATTCAATCAATAAAGCCTATAGGGGAATAATATAAGAAAAAAGAAACAAAATATGTAGTAAGGCATTAAGGAATAGTACCGAAAGTTCTCTCTTAATTTGCCTTGACATTATCCAATAAATAAGAGAATAAGTAATGAACTTACATTATTTTCGACTGCTAAGACACTTGCAGCCTGATCCATTCCACCACCTTGAATACCAATATACTGTTCACATTTCGCACATAACCTTGCCAATTCATGCTGGAGAGGAAAATGGAAATTATATAGAATGTTAAAGATCTAACTACAAGAAAATAACCAGGCAATGAAATAAACAATTAATTTAGTACTGAATAAATTTATTCGCAAGATTATTTATATAACGAATTAATATTGATAAAAGATATGCTGACTAACTTTCTAATCGTAGTATAAGGGATATAAGTAGTACATGTGCATACGTAAAAAAGCACATTGTCACTTAGCCACTGGATAGGGATCTTTTAGTCTACATTTTTCACCAAACTTCAGTTGATCCTGATTACGTTGTGACTTTTCAGAGGATTCAAAAGATATAGTTATCAAAAATGATAAAGATAACGACCACTTGTATTATGAATCTTCGAACTTCATTTTAAATATTTTACAGGCAGGGTATATGACAAACGCTAAAAAAATTATATAGCGTGAAGCACACTTAAACTGTTCGATTTCTCGAACAATATTTTCGTCGACCATGAAATACAATAGATTGTGAGTGGATGAGGAATTACTCATCATTGTTAACCTTTCAAATGATGCATTTTATTAAATTATGAAGCAGGAATGCGAATGTAAAAACACTGAAACACAGCATTAACTTTACGGATATAAATGTGATTCATAAATGTGTAGTAATTAAATAAAGTATCAAGGAACACAAAAGTGAGTAGTCAACCAATTATTAGCATACACACGCAGACATGCTACTTAATATTATGTTGATAACACCAATAATCTACATCGCATAAGTACAAATGGAAGGTCGTCGGTAGCGCAATTCAGGAAGCACGTTTTGTTCTATTTAGAACTAGTCAACTGGATGTACCTGATGATCAGTTGCAGTCCTCGACACCAATAGGAGAATTAAAACAACTAATCCCATAGTACAAGTCAATGGTTATCTGGACTCAGTAGCTAAGTGGTTAATGTGATGGCGTTTGAAGCGAACGGTACTGAAATTGAATTCCAGGGTGGACACCAACTCTGGGATGCAGTTACATCCAGATGAGTCTTGAATATGATGAAACGCGAGTTTAGATTCCACTGCTAACCATCATTCGTCTCTCCTTAAAATGCGTGTGACTGGATGGTAGTATATAGGCTACCTACACAAGATGCAGATATGTCAAAAGAAACTGAACAAGTGCAGTCGTATACAATAATCGGAGGATTCAAACAACCCATATAAATGAATGAAATGCTATATAGGAAGAGGTGAACTAAAATATCAACGACTGGAAAAAGATTTAACTAGATGTAACAGTCATCGTTTAGGGGAGGTTTGATGCAATACCCTACGTTTTAGACGTTGAATTTCCTGTTATCTCCATATATACCTATTGTATTGAATAAATACTATTCCCGCTTGTTACATATGTAAAAATCAGCTAATCATGGTTCTTTTAAAGAATAGTAAAGGAATTATAGACATACCATCTATGATGAAAGCAAAAAACTACTTTTTTTCTTTTTATTTATAACTCTTCTACTTTCCACTTACTCTATTTATTTGTAAGCCAGATATTTGCATAATTGCTATAGCAGAAGCAACTACAAAAGCGCTACTGCTTGAAAGACCAGCAGCTGGCCATAAACCACCATATGTAACATCACCAACTAGTACATTTATACTAGGAGGAATCCAATTCTATAAAAGATAAAAAATAAATAATTTTAATAGTTATGTAAACTTTTCATCTCATAATTGAAAAATTTATTCAGAACACATGAGTAAAGTAACAATAACTACAACAAAAACTCACCAATTACTAACCCATTAACTAGATCATATAGTAGCTGATGTATCAAAACCACATAAGCACAATGACTTTTCGAACAGACTACTTTAACAGTTTAGGTAACTATTTTCTCTACTTCCTCAACTGAGGTTGACTGATTTACAATGAAGAATTTTGGTTTTTCTTTACCTCACATAGAAACCTGGGAAAATTATGCTCTTCAGACCTTTTATGAACAATCATCTGGTTCAAGGTAAGCATAAGGTGTGCAAAATACTTGACATTACGTGGCCTTCGTTTTGTACAGAACCAAATGCTTACTTATTCTAAGTATTACAAACTCATCATGCACAGCAAGAGAAGCGTTTATCTATTTGTGATGATCTAATGCAAACGTTGGTGAAACGTTTACACATGAAACTAACGCTAGTGGTCGACAAAAACAAACGAAAACAGGTTACTCTAATGCTTTTTAGCACAACCAATCTACATGCAATTATTATTCAGTGATAAATGGCACACCAGACTTCAAAGTATATAATTTCTTACTTACTTACTGACATACGCCCGTCACCCCTAATCGAGTGTAGGCCACCGACCATACACATATTTCAAAATATAACTCTAGATACTTTAAAATGTTGCAAGTTGTCATACTCCAAAAACCAATGTCCGTTATAGTGAATAAAGAGTATGCGAATGAAATTAAGAGAAAATTTAGTTTGTAATAGGATTTAAATAGTGACAGTAGATTTTAAACACTTTCATAACATTAATATCTTCAACTTTGATAGTTAGTCTGTTAATCTGATATACAAACTCAAAATAATTAATTATACTAGTATCTGTAAGGATTTGATTGGAGTTGCAACTATAAACATTTATTACATTCATAATTGGATTATCAGTTTAAATCCTCACTACCTACTTGAGTAGGCGAATATTACTACAAGCCCTCACACGCAATAGGTTTGGGTGGTAATGGCCTGGATAAGCTTGTTCTGGATATTGATGACTTAAAATTTTGAAACAAGGATGACAAGAGATCTGCTATCATCAGAAAAATATAAACGGACACATTAACCTACCAAGTTTGACTCGTCTACATAGTCTTTTACTCCACGATATGCACATTGAAAATAATGAAACCACTCAGGTGAGTCAGGAGATCCTTCACAACCAAATGTAATAGCTTCTGCAATCGAAATTTTAATAGGCCTATATTCGGTACAAGGATTGAGGAATTAGTCATTTTAACTGCAGATATTAGTTATAACAGTATGAAAACATTGTAATTTTAAACTTAGTCTGGGAAGTAATTTGCTTACATGTTCTTATGTAAACAATATTGGTGCGTAGTGTAGACATGGGATTTTATAAACAGTGCAGATGCTCTATTGAAAAAGTCTTCAAAGACTGTATTATTGACAACTGGTAGGCAAGCGAATAAGTAAATTATTAGTCAACTCAAGAAAATAAAGCGTCGATTCAAATATTCACATTCCATTCTAACAAACTCAATGGAAATTAATAAACATAACAGATAAGAACGGAAAATGAGGTGGAAAAACTGTGAAAATGAGATTTAAATAAATGAGGACAATCAAAAGTATTGAATATTAGAACAAACCAGCTAAATGGCTTTTTGATAAATATGAATATGAAATTATTATTACATGAATATATGAATATTATTATTATATGAATATGATATTATCTATTAGGTAACTGTTTTGCCTTTGGAGCACCTTGTCGATGATTTCGCTTCATGAGCCGCATTGTATGGTCGATCATCATGTATTGAATTCATCTGATCACATTAACAATCCCAAACCATGCATTGCATGACGCACACAAACTACAAACCATTATAATAATATTACATATTTTTACATAGTAGAATTTGTTACTCTTAACCCATTAGTAGGTGGAAATTCAAAATAAAAGATTTCAAGGCATAACTCCGAAAGGTAAATTTCGAAAACCATGCATATACATAATGGTCAGAATTACCTGTATTGAGTATCTGTGCTTTTAAGAACGATCTTATCCACATCAGATCCAGATGTTAGGCCTACAGACAAATAAACTGCTTGTTCTAATGCCATCGGTAATACAGGATAACCATTATAATCAATATGTTCACCTAGTTATTAAAAGAAATAAAACATAGAAACTTGCTACAAAATGTTTAAAAATATAATTAATGGTCGATAACATTAAATAATCTGGAAATTACTTGGGACTAGATTATTACCATTATTTAAAGCTCTTTTCTTTTATTTAAGGTGATAAACCGAAGCGAGGTTTAAGTATGATCAGCCAATAACAGAAGTCAAGCGTAACACACAGACACAGTACATAACTTTGAAACTTATCCATGACTAAGATACGGTCTTAAAAAAATATACGAGCAATTCTTCGAAGACACCTATGATCGAATATCAGTAACCCCCGAATATCTCTTATTATTAATGACCATGTTTCACACCCCTTGTGAAGAGCCAAGTGACATGCTCTGCAATGAACTCGTCCTCTGGCCAGTTCGTTGACAAAGGTTTCACCTACGCCACAAGTATTGCAAATTGCCGAGGATCGTTAGAGCCTTTTGTACCCGGGTCCAGATATAGTCAGACACCAGGACTTCAGGACTTGTGAGACTCCCGAGATAGGTGAGGCAGTCGTAACACTCAACTACTTTACTTTCTACCACTAATACCGGAGCCGATGCAAACCAACCTTGAAGCAACATTTTGCATATGGAAAGGGATAATCGCTTTTCATGAAAATGGAAAAAGCGAAAATACCTAGCGGACGTCACTTGTGATCTTATTAGAGCGTGATTTGAGTCGAAATATATACTCCAGAATGAACGGTAATTTTCTAACAAGCCTCTCCAACGATAACTGATGACAATGTGGTCTACATGAGTTTAGCGTTGAGACAGTTTAGGGGTTTGTCATATCAAAAGATGTTTTGCCTTATGCTTAAAGTTGGTAAGTGCCATAAATACGAGGTTATCTGTGTATAACGGCAACAGTACATGATTATTATCTGTTCAGTGTTCAACGGCGTGATACAGTTAACCACTGACGACATGAAATATTATTATTACGAGTTGGTGAGTAGTGGAGAGCAGCGGGCCATGATGGATTGACTCCTGAGATTTTTAGGGATGGTCATCCAGTTTTAGTGATTAGATTGACTGGGATCTTAGCGAGAATCTCGGAATTGGGCAGAAAACCATCTGACTGGTCGTTATCACTGATTTTGCCGGTCTACAAAATAACACAAAATTCCTCTTGTGACCATCACAGAGGAATCAGTTTAACTAACTATACAGTTGCTAGACTGAAACCGAAAATTGTTGATCACCAAAAAAATATTACTAAAGATCGTCCGTTTATAAACTAGACATGGGACCATAAAATATAATGTAGACAAAAAATGAATTACATACGAGAGTATAAAAGTCTGATGACCCGACTAAACCATTCATATCTTAAGAATACCTTAAAAAAGCTAAATTAAAACAACATACCTAACGTTTATTAATGAGCCATGTTTGAGAAGAGGTTTACAAGAGTATGTTGTTTGCTACTGCGTATACACGACACCCTCAAATTCTGTCTTACTGAAACGTGTTCATTAACAGATTTATACCATTACTTTCTGTGCTACTATCTGTTCTTAACATCCTATTATTATTAGTATTGCTACAGTTCAAATAGCCCATCATTTCCAAACAAATATTCATGAAAAACAATTATGTACGAGAAATAGGTGGTTTATTAACTATTATTGAACCCCGTAAGCGGCTTGCACATCAACAATTATGCAGACGTACTTTATAACTAATCATTAGTCATTAACATGACCGTAAAATCTAAGATTTACAGTTAAATTAAATTAACAGGCTCCAAACTCTATTACAGCGAATCTTGGTAGATTTTTGTCATTGGTAAATGGTAAAATCATCAAATATAACTAAGCGAATAGATTGAGCTTTCTATCCTCTTCTCTCCATCCATATAACTTTAACAGTCTTCTGAAAGAATATATATATAAATCATATTGTTAACTTACCGATAAGATTTACTCTGCCAGGAGCTCGTACTACAAAACTGCATTTATTACCAAAAATATGATGAAATTCACTAGACAACCTAACGGCGATATCGTTTGGTTTATATGTAGGGACGAAATCACTATCATTCATTTTCAACCTTAAAGACAAACAGAAATGTAAGATATTTCTATTATTACGAAATATAACTTTGAGAAAGCTTTATGATTGGATTGTTGCTCTTGTAAAATATATTTGTTTTGTATTTTATTTAGATCGCTGTTGCCATTTATTCTGTTACTTTTATTTTGATGTATTAATGTGACACGTCAAATTATTCCGACGCATATTTGTCAGGTTCCTTTTTGATAATAACTAAATAACACAATATTTACAGGACTATAGGAGTTAATATGATTTATCTGCAACTTGAAAAAGTACTGATATTAAAGCATCTGGTACTCAGGGAAAAACTAAAGAAATCAGTTTTCAAAATAACAGCTTGTGAAAAAATAAAAAATTTTCATCGAATACCCGGTTAGACAAACACTGTAAGTGTATCAAACTAAGTTGGCATAATGAATGGTAGCATACGAGGAAGTCAGCAAAAAGAACCATATAAATGAGAAGAAACTTATGTCGGATATTTATATGGCTAACTGGTAAGCTAGCAAGCTAGAAAAACATTTTACCTATGTTATAATTATCTTTGACAAACAAGACAACTAATAATCAGTAAAAGACTGGTATATAGCGGAATTATGTACGGAATTCTTATGATGGATTCAACTGCAAAATCGTATACGAAGGACAGCTAACAAACTCTTTCGAGGTGAAGACCGGTGTCAGGCAAGGTTGCTTACTCTCACCCTTTCTCTTTCTCCTGCTCATCGACTGAATTATGAAGACGTCAGCATATGGAGGGAAGCACGGTATTCAGTGGACAGTTAGGACGCAGATGGACGATCTGGACTTCGCAGATGACCTGGCTCTTCTATCACACACGCAACAACAAATGCAAGAGAAGACGACCAGTGTAGCAGCAGCCTCTGCAGCAGCAGGTCTCAACATATATAAAGGAAAAATCAAAATTCTCCGATGCAACACAACATGCACCAACCAAATCACTCTTCATGGAGATGCCTTGGAGGACGTTAACAACTTTACATATCTGGGCAGCATCATCGACAACCAAGGTGGATCAGATGCAGATGTGAGGGCGCGGATTGGCAAAGCAAGGGCTGGCATTTCTACAGTTGAAAAATATCTGGAACTTCAAACAACTTTCATTAAACACCAAAGTCACAATCTTCTATACAAATGTCAAGACAGTTCTACTGTGTGAGGCGGAAACTTGGAGAACTACGAAAGCCATCATCCAGAAGATACAAGTGTTTATGAACAGTTGTCTACGCAAAATACTTCGGACTCGTTGGCCAGACACTATCAGCAACAACCTACTGTGAGAGAGGACAAACCAGGTTCCAGTGGAGGAGGAATTGAGGAAGAAGCGGTGGAAATGGATAGGACACACATAACTAAAAGCACCTAACTGCGTCACGATACAAGCCCTCACATGGAACCCTCAAGGCAAAAGGAAAAGCGGAAGACCAAGGAACACACTACGCCGAGAAATAGCGAAAGATATGAGAAGAATGAACAAAAATTGGACAGAACTGTAAAGTGAAGCCCAGGACAGATTTGGTTGGAGAAAACTGGTGGGTGGCCTATGCTCCATTGGGGGTAACAGGCGTAAGTAAGCAAGCAAGTAATTGGTATATGATTGAAGTACCACTATTGCTAACCAACAAAGGGCTAAAGATATTTGATTACTGATGTACTGGTGGCACTGAACGTGACTAATGGAAAAAACAGCCCGGTAATGTTTATTTAAGGCAACTGATTCTGTTGATACAATTATGAATTTGGATCAGTTGCGTTTGGGAGAGTGAAAATCACTGACTTATAGCTTGGAGAACAAATGCACGTGAACTTGTTACCTGTGGATTTTAAGATGGGAGCGATTAACGCCTTAAAACTGTGAGAGAAACTACTCATAAGGGATTCCCACAACCCGATGTTCGTGTACCTATACTGAAAAGTTATAACTATCCGTCTTCATTCTGGTTTTCTCCTTCTACATCTCTGTTTAATATTTTTATTGCTTAATTCGAATGTTTTGTAAGGTTATCAAAAACCATGACATCTGAACAGCGAAACCATTCAGTTAGGTTTTAAGATTGATTCTATCGACCAAGGTAAAAGTATACCCGCCTTACCCTCAAAACTAAGATTACATCAAATTCTGATGAAATATTTTATTCCACCACATAAAAAACTGTTGAACAGAGATACATGTATAAACAGACAGCGATTCATAAAATATAGAAATATATTCCAATTTAGCTTGCATAATTCAGAGCAAAGTGTGAATAGTGATAACTCGTTTTTAACGGGGTTATAACATGATAGCTGACAAATAGCCACGTGGTTATTGTTCAAAATACATAGAACTTTAGGCCTTTACCTATGAACTACCTTGAAAAGATATGTAAATTTAAAAATGAGCCTAATAATTCATTTCGAAGCTTTAACGATTAGAATAGTGAATACACTCAAAAACATTATTGTGAAAGGATACAGTCTTCAGTAACTGAAAACTCACCGTCCTAAAGCTATTACGTACTTTTGAGTAATAAAATGAAATAGAATTCAGACGATATATTCTTAAAAACAATACTTGAATTAGGACATTACCGAAGTGATATTATAAATAAGATCGGACAACTCAATATCCCGATTCCCGACCGTAGCAACTACCTTGACGTAGTGATCAGGTTTGCCTATCGTGATGACCCAACCGAGCTATACTGGCTGGAACATATGTTCCTGCAGGTCCTACTGTAGTGAATGAGAACACAGGTGGGGCAACCGAATTGTATTTAACGAAAATTACAGAGTTACTCAGTAACATCGGAAAACCATATCGTAAATCGTTCATTTGCAAAAGATCAGTTCATCCTATGGAACTGGACTGTTCCTGTTGCCAAACATCAATCCATTGTCACTATTCATGCGTTTCATACAAATTCCATTGTTTTCTAACTCTTCCTTTCTTGATCTTTCCCCCATATTATGCTACCAGACTTTACGTTGACACTCACGTTATATACTACTTATAAGTAGTTCGCACCACAGCACCACACTACCATGCCAGGCTGGTCGATTGGAGAACGATGAGACTAAAAGCAGCTACCCAAGGTCTGAGGGCGAAGTCGTATTGCTGACTGCAGAGGGGTGTGACAGCAGTAAGGTGTTTCCCCCGGATAACCAGCATCTGCAGCGATGCTGTCTTCTCACAAGGAAGGAATGGTTAGAAAATGTCGGCCCTAAAAATGTCACACCTCCCCTACCTCACAGATTTCCGTCTCCGGCGGTAAGGGTGCCCACTAAGGGCCTTTAAGAACGGAGCTGATCCTCAAAAATCCTTTCATAAAAAGGCCGTGCGTGACCGACCTCAAGCAGTTGTCCCTTGGACTCTGCGGTCACGCACCCAGGTCTCTAAGACCAACACTAATCTATCTTCCTTTTCAGGTCCCTCAAGAAACAACCTTCCACGGTGTGGGCAGCCGGGAAGTGACAACCGCCCTCATACCCGTAACAGCACGAGAGACCAAATTGGTCAAAATCAAATCCTTTCTACACCCGCACATACCTCTCTTCTCTCCACAACAAACTCTACTCACATTCCCTTATCTGACTGCACCGCTAATGCAAACGATGCGAGGTCACGAAACGTCATTCCTGGTCTATTGAAACCTCGTTCTAGTCTACATGTTGGAGCATTTAATGTACGGACATTGTGTCAAATAGGGAAACAGGATTCTTTAGCTAGGACTTTAGAATCTCGTGCCATCGATGTATGCTGCGTCTCGGAAACGCGCATACAGGATCCTAGTAAAATTATTAATCTGATTTCACGTTGTCAAAATAAAGAAGCAGCTCGATTTACTCTTCGTGTATCCGACTCAACGGGATGGTCCGGACTCGGAAGGATAGGGACACTCGCCGTTGCCTCTTCGTCGTATCTACCTACGCTTCCACTGACTGCAGTTCAGACGACATGAGTACGATGAGGAGCGGAATCAGCTCAGATGCAGGCTGATAAAAAGCCTTCACAATGAACGAGAACAATGGTGGGTGGCGAAAGCAAAAGCGATGGGAAAGGCAGCGCGATAGGCAACAGAAGACAGTTGTTCCGACTTATCAAGGAAATCGGTATAAGAAATCCAACTGACAGAGAAACTATCTCGGAAAGGATGGGACTATCATTCATTCTCAACGCAGGAGATTGGACCGATGGGCAGAACACTTTAGGTATCGGTTCAAATGGCCTTCAGCTACACTTCGGTTACCCACGATCTCCAGATATTCTGTATGGGAGATCAACATAAGTCCTCCGAATCTCTATGAAGTTGAGAAACTGATAAGAAATCTGAAGCGAATGAGAGCTGCAGGCCCTAATAGATTGACCCCTAAGATTTTTAAGGATGGTGGTCTGACTGACTGGGATCTAAGGTAGAATCTGGGAAATGGACGTAATCCCATCCGACCAGTCTCAATCAATGATTGTCCCAGACTAAATGAAAGGAAAAAAGTCCTCTTGGGACAACAGCACGGGAATAAGTCTAACTAATCCAGTTTCTAAAATATTGGCCTCAATAATACTCCGACGCTTAACCTCGATAATCCTTAGACGCCTAATTAGAGCTCGTGAAGAGCAGACTAGAGAAAACCAGGCTGGTTTTCGATCTGGACGTGACTGTATAGACCACATCTTCACATTACGACAGGTCTTAAAACACAGCAAAAAATTTAGGCAATCGACGATAGTTATCTTCTTAGACCTTAGGGCGCCAAGTGAATCTATGAATTGTGAGGTTGTGTGGCAGTTTATGTCGTCAAAAGGTGTACCAAAGAAGTACATTAACCTTATACAAGCTCTGTATTCGAACACTACAGTTCGAGTTGGAGCTTATGGCAAACTGTCATCAGAATTCTTTACTTCAAGTAAGGTCCGTCAGGGATGTCCACTTTCGCCATTCTTGTTTAATTTTATCATTGACATGCTCCTAGAAATAACCTTATCCTCGTCTGAATTTTCAGGAGTAGACCTTTTACCAGGTGGCTCGCTTATTGACCTAGAATATGCTGATGACATAGTTCTATTCGGTGAAGATTCTGAGGCTTTTGAAAACCCTGAGCAACAATGCAAGCATGTTTGGGATGCAAAATAGTGTTTCAAGACTGGGTTTCGTCGGTACCGGAACTAGTGATAGGGAGTGAAGCGGTTGAGCGTGTGGACCGCCTCACTTATCTCGGGAGTCTCATAAGTACCGATGGCCTGGTGACTGACGAAATCTCAGCACGTATACAGTTAACTAGATTGGTTTTTGCCAACCTGAGTCACTTATGGCGAAGGCGAGATGTCCGTCTGCTGACTAAAGGACGAGTGTACTGTGCAGCAGTTCGCTCCGTCCTACTTTTTGGCTGTGAAACATGGCCAGTGAGAGTAGAAGATATTCGTAGGTTACTGGTTTTCGATCATAGGGTGTCTTCAAAGCATTGCTCGTATATCGTGGGACAGCCGAGTAAGCAATGATGTTGCTAGGAAACCGGTGCTAGGTAAGGATGGCAGGTCAATAGATGACGGTGAAACTTCATCAGTTGAGGTGTTTGGGACATATGTTGCGTATGCCTAACCACCGACTGCCTCGTCTAACTGTTTCGCGATATAGGAATAGCTTGGACGAAAGCTGGGAGCGGCCAGACCAAAACACGGCAGAAATCCGTGAAATCACTGACAAGTGAACTGAGTCATGTCTGTAGGTGTCGACTTTCTAGTTGTGGTCCGCGAGATGATAATAACCGATGGTTAGAGACCCTGAGTGACATGGCTCAAAACTGTTTGCAATGGCGCAGGTGCACTTACGTTTTGTGTTCTATGAAATTCTAACCTTCTGAATTGCTCATCACCTATCTTTCTCTTTCTAAATTTACCTCACTGAATGATACTTCTTGAATAACATCTTCGAACCCTAATCTCTCCGATTACTTCTAATACTTTTACTACCTCTATTACTATGGGATTTGAATTGACAACTATATCTCTGTGCTAATGTGATATGGCAACTTCAAATGCTGTACTTACGTGCAAAATTCTGCGTTGCCGTTAATGATGATGAGTCAACAAACAAAGCTAGATTTTAAAACAAGCATTATCCTGATATACAATCAAGAAATTTACTTAGTAATTTGATAAAAAAAGTAAATATGTATGGAGAATGATTACTTACATTCAGACAAGTTTCTTAGAAGGAACTCGTTACTTTGAAACTAATATAGGATCAGAAAATGTTCAAAAAATTTTTTTTGATTAGGTTACTTACTTCCTAAACATATAGGGAATTTCTCATGTAAATTGAAAATACTTAGTACCACGAATTAATAATAGACAAAATACGACTGCGTATCAGCACTAGAAAGCCGTTCTTCTAGTTTGAAAATCTTTGCAAATGTACTTCTGTGACTACACATGAAGTCGAACTTCTATCCTCCAAGTCCCGGTCCTGTATTGAGAATACCGTAGTCCATTTTTTCCAAATTAATTCTAACTTTGATGTAGGGTGATTATCACATATTGTCTTTAATCAGTTTCTGTTTACAGTCGATAGAATTGACTATATTATATATTAAGACTGGAACTGGAACGTCAGGAAATTCATTTCTATGCTAATCACCAACATACGATTGCTACGTTCTGAAGTGAATTTGCATATGTTGAAGATAAATCCAACTACATGACTTTTAAAAACAAGAGAGCAATGAACAGAACGCTTTGTAATCGAAAACATGAAGGTTCACAGTACTAATCGTTATGAGATCACCGGCGTACATTTATGAGCAGCAATGAACTTGAACAAAAAAAATTATCTGACACCTTTTGATTCTCAATAACTTAACCTGACTTCAGTCTTCAAATTAAACTAACTCTCGCAAATCGTTTAATCGTAGGCTGTGAAGTTATTTACGAAAATAATAAAGAGGCTTTGTATTGAGGTGCTTCAACAACTACATAGTGTTTGAATGCATATCAATGACCATTGCAATGCTTTGCCACAGCATTATTATTTCTTCTATTTATATTTATCAAACATACGGATTACTGTTTTGCAAGCAATTCCCATAAATCCCTTCTAATTTTCGGTAAGTTCACTTGGAAGATACAAACACAAAACGAATTCAGGGTAATTTTGAAAATCTATTCTAGTAGCCCATTTCATTTGCCACCAATACTACCAAAAGGTAAAAGACAAGGCAAAAGTTGCTTTATAGGTAACGAAATATCTTCTCCAGTAAATTACAGTAGTTTGCGACTGACGGTTGTTCTATTTTTAGTATCATACAGTTTAAAAATTATTCTGAAAAACATACTTGTATTTACTCATATAAAGGATTACTATTACAAAAATATTTACCACTTGTGACAACATAGGCGACTAAATCATCACTTCTTAGACAAACTGGCGACAAAATTTACCAGATTTCATGCAGTCTGAAGATCGTTTTATCTCGCTGAGTTCTTGACTAAACCGGATACAAATTATGATAGCTATCTACTTAAACCTTGTATAGAAACTTTAAAAGGAGATACTAAGTTTTAAATAAATAAAACTAATTTAATGTCTAATAAATTAGGCTGGTCATGATTTATGTCAATGAATTACTGACTAGAAAAAAAACTTATTTTTACATAGCGTTTGGGTGTTGGCTAGACAACAAGAAGATAAACTGTTGGTGTACTAAACATAAATATTACGGAACTTAAAAGCCAGTTTTTAGAAAAGTTTGCCAACAGAAAAATTGAGTAAACCTACAGGTGAGTTGACCAAAATTAAAATGACCCCTCAACTATTTTGAGCGAGATTCAATGTACAACAATGGATATCTTGTGCTAGTATTAACGAAGTAAAAACTGGCGATTAGGAGCTTAAGAGCATGATATAGATATAAATCTTTATCATGACTTCGGGAAAACCTAGACGTGATTAGTGAGCTAAATTAACAAACATAAATAATCGCCAGTCAAATCGTATGATAAATTATTTCTTATGAATCATGAGTGGATAGTAGTGTTTAGTGGGATGAGATAATATGCTCAAATTGTAACTCTTACTCAAAATCTCATCCAAAAATCTGATAAGTTTGTAGAAGATAAAATGAAGAATAAGAGTATCAAACCTGTCGTCAGTTCATTATGACAATAGAAACTCTTCTATTCTAAAAAACAACTCAAAACATCGACATAAATTTCGAGACCTGATACCAATCATTCACAACTATAGCCTGCATCAAATGGCGACGAAATATCTGTGAGGTGATAACCGTGAATCGAAACACGGGGGATATTTAAAAATTGAAATATTTCGTCACGATAAACTGTAGGAAACATGCTTTACACAGCTATAGTCCTGGCATCTTCGAGTTGATGCTAGTCGAGCGACCTGACTGCTATAATTCCAGTAAGTTGGTAGTTATTTATGAATCTGTATGTTTCCGGGTCTTGATGGGTGCATTTTTCTTAGGGTAGTAGGGTTTCTGGATTCCAGCAGACGTCATATATATTGGGTCGGAGATCAGTTAGTTGCAATATGGATAAAGATAAGGAGATTCTGATGAGAAGAGAAATTTGTCAGAAGTGTGCAAATCAATGAATAAGTTAATTAGTTGTTACTTAAGACTGGGTGATAGCAGAGAAGTATAGGCAAAGAAGAGGAAACAAAGACCATAAACGAGACCTTTCGTTTTTGCAAGGCTCTCCTGTTTGCTTTCCGAGAGCCTCCCTTGTCTCGCTTGGCCCACATTTTTCTTATTTCAGTTCTATGACTTGCATCAGGTACAATGTGTCTCTCCCTACCCTCCAATACGCTCGTCTCAATGAGGCTCTCAGAAGATGCCTTTTTATGACCGTGTAGGTTGCGCTAGTGTCCATACTGACGCTCGATATATGAAATTTGCGAGTCCGTTGGACCATAACGTGTTAGGAATGACGGTCATTGAAATGATGTACAGGTTAGAAGGAAACAGTGACGGGAGACTCAGTTGATAATTGAGAACCTATGTATGATTATTATTATTATTATCACTCTAACTAAGTCGACTTTTTCTGTTTTCTTAACAGTCAAGTATTCTTATGAGTTGTGTTGTCTACTAAGGTGCGCATAGAAATGCTTTCACGTTATTAAAGAGATCACAGTGGCTTGTAATCTTTTGAAAATTTAATAAGACGTCAACTTCTGAAATATTTACCTCCAAAAAACAAATAAATAGTTATTTTGTAAATAAAACTCGTTGAGATAATCTGTACTAAGAATTCTAGACTTTGCTAAACATATAATATTGGATAAAGCCATTTTTATAATTAGTCTCGGGATTTTTACGAACTCCATAATAAACTATTCAGAATTGTCATTTTGAAGACCCATATCAAGCTTAACATAGACGAACCCAGATTATACGTTCCCGCCATTCATCTTGGCGGAGAAAAATGGTGAAAAAACTCGTGCTTAAAGGTTTTCATATTAAGAAAGTCCAGAGAAAAACGATCCCCAAACCTCTATGGGTAGTTATAAACACAGTGGTCTAAGAAAAGCTTGGTAATATTGCTGTTATAGAAGCCTGACTAACTTCAGAAGCACGAGAAAATAAAATCCATATGCTGCAGGCTGACAGACTAAAACCTAAGTGTGGCGGGGTTATCCTTAGGTTATAAGCACCTTATCCATATGGACTATCAAGACAGTGGCATGCGACTCAGAGACATGGCGCCATATCAGCTGTAATGTAATGTAAAATGCAATAATTCAAATTAGTTCGGTAAATTGCAGTCTAGAATGTGGAGTAGGGGGCCAACTCTTAAACGGACGCAAAAAATATGAAGGAATGTTGGGGTTGATTGGAAACAAGTGTATAATCACAGTCATGGCAGGTCAACAAAAATAAGAGTAAAAATTAGCAGAGTCTGTGACCAAAAACAGAAGAGGCTGTTTTTTTACAGCAGTTCATAACCACTTGATTATCAGACTATTTAAGTACGGAAGTACATCCCAAATGTTAGGGGAAGTTCAGGACAAAGTAGAAATTATGGCTGAATATTATTGGGGATTTTCCAATCTGACATCTCTGTTACAGTAATGGTAACATTAAATTATGACAATGCATGACATGTGGTATGCCAGTTTACAGAAAAGATAAAATTGTTACGAATGCTGCCACATTTACTTTAAAATGTTGCATTGCTAGGTTAATTATAAGAATCTTTTCTTGACAGCAAGTTTACGCCATATCACCAACACGTACAGTATGACACAGAAAACTTTTCAACAGTCGATTACTAACAGGGTAGTACATAGCAGAGTTTCTTGCGTAGTTCATATAATTTAGGAGCGGATTTGTTTGAAATTTTCGGCTGCAGTGCGCTTGATACAAGCTGTGACCTTGATAAGCGCAAAATAAGGTGCTTTTTAGGATAAACACCATGGTTCTTTCGTTGTCGATAGGGTTCTGACAAGGGACAAAACTGAGAGAAAAGGAAGAAGTAGAAACGCGACAATTTAATATATGTAACCGGAGCAATGCTTAACTATTCATGATAAGGTAGTTAAAGCGACGGCAAGTCAGAGTAAAAAATCCATACAGACTACTAAAATTAAAATATAATATGGTAATACAGCCTTCAAACAACTCAATACAGAAATGAATAATGGTTTGTGATGAGTATCAAGGTAGATGGAACGGTAGTTGAAGAACCTAAAAGTTCAGGAAGAAGAGTAGAGTTTGTGAAAAAGAAGATAATTATTTTATCCAATATCCTTGTTGTTTCCATCACATTCCCACCCCAAACTCTTACTATAAATGTCTGAGTTAGAAAGTTGCAGGCTGTTTTAGAAGAATTACGACCCCAGCATATCATTGGAAACATGAGTCTCAGAAGTAGCAAGCGTGTAAGAGCAACCTCAGTATCAGTGATTAGTCGCCTCATCAATCGAAGTGAGCCGAAATCAGAGAAAATGTTCAGCCCCACATACAAACGTGCACTGAAGTCATCTTTCTTACCGTCAGTTTTTGCTGGTTGATAGACTCATGTAAAATGACTGTAAAGTAATATTTCATGTTCTGCTTGAGGCTCTATATTTAACATACTTTTGAGAAACACTAATTCTGCAAGTTCCTTTCACAAGCTTGTCTGGCTTTAACAACTTATGAAATATGGGCTAGGCATCAATGCGATACGGTTAACAGTATTGGATAGAAGTCCAGGTTTTGGAACAAACCATAAGCATTTATGGTGTAGTGGTGGAAAATGTTCAATGATGTGAGCGGAAAAGTTTAGGAATATCATGCTTTATTATTAGGGCCAAGGATAACGAGATGCTATCATTGGTGAGTCAATCGAGTGCATATAAACATAATAAACGGATAATAGAGAATAAAAAACTAACAAAATTATGCGTGTTGATGAATATTTGTCCATTCCAAACCGGGTGATATTTTAACAGCATGTGAATGCATCACGATAACAGATTCAGTAGCAAATGGTAATGTCTGACTGAAGACTCGTCAGGACAGTATAGCTCGTTCTAATCAGCCAGCTGCAGTCGAACATTATCGAACAACCCGGTAAGTAACCTATCTATTACAAGCGAAATTCGAAGAGACTTGAAGCCAACAATAGGAATTTAATACAATTTTGGAGAAAGGGGAATAATGAAATAAGATGCATCTTTGAATTCGATATAGTATAAACGTGTCGAGTGCTAATATTATTAAAACAGTATGCAAGTGAGTTCAGGAGTGCAAAGGAATCAGTGCAATCGGAGCTTCGTTAGGAGGAAATAGAAAAGCATCAAATCCGTCCACCATGCGTAAAGTAAGGCTGCTTTATATCAGTGCATACTTATTGAGGGGGAGGATCTCCCACGTTTTCAGGCCACAACTCTCAATTTTGACCGTAGATACTTGCTCTCTGATGTTTGCATACATGTGCCTTGGATAAGGACTACACTAATAGAGGTGTTTGTGCCGGAACTTGAAGCTGAGGATTAGACTGTACTTAATTTTTCTTTTCCAGGGTG